TTTTTTCATATCTGGACTTAGATTTTTTTAGGTTTTAATTATGTAATTGGCAATTCTGTAAACTAAAGAGACTTAATTGTAAATGATGTAAAAAGTGGAGGAGTGACATGCAATTATATGAAAATATGTTTTTTAGGTCTAGAGTTTGAATATGGTAAAAGAAGAAAAATACGGTACGGATTTTCGCTTGACTGTCTATGGATTAGCTCGTCAAAAACAGAACCTGCAATGCTCGACTGTCGCCCTACCCTAGCTCGAGCGATAGCTTGTCTTTCTACTATGACGAGCCCTCGCTCGAGCGACGGTAGTCCGGAAAATTTTTATTTCGCGATTTAAAGGCTTTTTTCCTGACCCATTACTTTTCTAACGTACCATAAATACAAAAACACATCTGACCTTGAAAAATAAGGTTGATCGTTGAAAGAACTTCATCGGAGAGAATACCAACATATTACTACTTTCAACATTCATCTTGTAAGTTTGTTTTGGTGAGAAAAATATCAATTTCGTAATCTAAATACCAAATTGTTTTTTCCACCTCATCTATTAGAGTTGCTGAAGATCGAGAGAGGTTGATTGGAGTTCCAATCGTTGAAGAACGTGGTGTTCTTCTTGGATTCACAGGAGATAAACGATTTCACAAAACTAGGAGTTGTTGTAGGAGAGCACAATCTGGGAGAGCTTTTGAAAATACAGTTGGGAGTGGTGTAGGAGTACAAAATCTAGGAAAGCTGTTGGAATTGCAGTAAGGAGATCAGTTAGTACGTATCGTCTTTTAGGCTCGTAGACTATAAATTATAAATCGTTTATAGTGGATTGTTAAGTGGCAAAGTGCCCGAAATTTTTACCCAGTTGGGGTTTGTCCGTGATCATACCGTGTATTTTTACTACTTTCTGTATTGATTATATAAACTGCGATATTTAAACATATGTTAAATTGATTTGTGTGTTTAATCATCTAAAGATAATTAATTGGTGACATGTTGCTAATTAGTTAATATTTTTAATTCCGCGTAATATACATATTCACCCCCATTTAGGTATTGTTAGGGTCGAATTACGAAACTTTCAGATATCTTTATACTTTCACTTTTTTTTTTCAATTTTTTTTGTGCAGCAAGTGATAAAATTAAAAGGGATAGAATAATGATGATGACTACAAGCATGGGCGGAGCAAAATTTAATCAATGTTGGACTTTGAGTTTTTGGCCATAGATTTAATAATGATAAAATATAAAGTCCCCGTTTGACAACCATTATTCAAAACTTTATTTCTCTGCATACTCATTTTCAATCACACATTAACATGATAAAATATTTTACATAAACTCAAAACTCTTTCCCTACATTTTAATCACACATTTTTCAAAAAATCACTATTCAAAACTCCATTTTACCCAAATAATATTTATCAAACATGGGCAAAATAATATTAAGACAACACTGAAAATGACATAATTTATAAATTACACTTATACAGTACAAGTTTTCATACTTTAATATGTCTATATGTTGGTTTTTTTTGAATATTCTTAGAATTCATTGTCCAAACTCCAAAGGAAACAAAAGGGATAGAACCATAGAAGGGTTTCAAAGAAGAGGAAAAAGTGAAAACTCCTCTATTTTATGAAAACATATTCATATTAAATGAGTTTAAATGAGCCTTCTTTAAAAAGATTTAAAAAAAAAAAGAACAAATTTCTTTTGTGTTTTTATTGAAATTTAGATGACGTTTAAGTTTCGATTACTATCATTTTGGTTGCAACTTAGTTATATTACTCACTTTGTATCTAATTAAAACATGATTTTTTTTCTTCTATTTTCTTTCATTTTTACATATAAGTATTGTTGGGAATTTACTTAACATGCACAGCGAAAATTAAACAATTTTCAATTCCCAAACGAGGATCTGCAATGTGTTTAGATAGAAACTGTGATGAGAATGATACCTTTGATGAATTCCACAAACTCTTTTGCTTTTTCTTGAACTCCAATGATCACGATCTGCAATCCAAGCT